CGTCTTCGTTTTAGCGCAAAGGGGCGAGCCGTCACGATCCCTGCCAACACAACGGCAGGGTTAGGCTTTACAAAATCTCAGAAAAAGGGCGGGTTGGGCGGGACAAACTACGGAAGCTTGCAAACAAACTATCCGCACCCACCTCCCACCCTTGAGATGAGAATGGCAACATGATCACATACTTCACATGAACAGCTTCAGAGTGTGCAAGAGAAGGTTCACCAACAAATTGGCGCAACTCAAATCTCTAAAAGAAAGTTTCCAACATCAAAATGTTGAGAAAGGAAATTCGAGAAGTATTGCTAATTTCAGCAACTGAAATTTCTACACAACGGAATAAGGTGATTATCCCTCCGGGAGTATGCACTTATTCCTCATGTGTAGACCGCAATACTTGGAAAGCTTGCACTTTCATCCATCTCGAAATATTATTCTTCAAATCACATATATTGAAAACTCAATATCTTCAAAGAGGAATAATATAAATATGAAAGGACACGCAGCTCTCGGACGTCTTCGTTTTAGCGCAAAGGGGCGAGCCGTCACGATCCCTGCCAACACCCCCATCAGAAATGGTGAGTGTCAAGGTTCGCCCGCACCCTCGGGCAATCAAGCTTGTCAACTTCTTCAAAGTTCAGCCTGCTTGGCCCGTCCGCAACATTCGATGCCGTAGGCACCCTTGCAAACCACACGTTGAGCTGTAAGTCCATTTCATATTTCAAGAAAGCCCTGACCCATGAGTCAGCAGGCTCGGTCTCGGCATAGCACCTGATCAACGAGTGCCTGGCGCCCTCGTTATCAAGATAACACACAAGCTGGCTGCCATGCATGAGCCCTTTCCAAATTTGCAGTGAGATAACTAGCGGAGCTATCTCCAGCTCATAAATCGGATTCTTGGATTTCTGCAAAAGCGAATGCATGAGCGAAGCAGGAACGGACTCTCCGAAGTGACCTGCACACACGCCATTGGGCGCGAAGAGCACAGCTCCTATCCCACCTGTGCCTTGCTCAGCTTCGCAGGCTCCATCGGTGAAGAGAGTCCACGTCAAGGATATGCCCTTGAGCACACGCAAAGGCTCAGCACTGGCAATCCTGCTCAAGAGAGCATTAAGGCAGCGCCGGTGTTCATCATTCAAAAGAATACTGCTCACGGCATCTCTGCAAGCTTTTGCCAAGAAACGCAAGGCGTGGCTCGTGACTCGGCCGAAAGAAAAACTTTCGAAGAACACCATCCTGCCCCTGAGTCTCTCAAAGACCCTAGGCGACAAGAAGCCGGCATTAAGAATTCCCTGAACGTACTCGGTCAGTTCTCTCCGCCTGGAGTCGGTATGTCCAACAAGCATAAGGCAATCGACAAGTCGATGCTGAGCCCAAGCATGGAAAAGCTGGGAGAAAACGGCATGGCCTTGCGGCCTTCACGCGCAAAGTTTATTCCCAGAAGATCAAACAAGCACTCAATCACCCATCTAGTGTTGTCTGCAAGCTGTGTCTGAGAGACTGCAGAATAATCATCGAAGTAGGCGCTCCACATGACCCGGCAAAGCACGATCCCTATCCTCCAGACTGCATAACTTATTCTAAGAAATGCAGAGACGGATCCCACTGCTCCGAACGGGAGCGAGTTTAGTCCGAGGAGGACCGGCTTTTGCACACCAGGCTTGTTGACAGCTATGCGCAACAGCTTGCGATCAAAAGGATGCAGACCGTACTGTTTATAAGCTGACTTCAAGTCAAACGTCCTACCTGACAATGACGACATGTTGCAATCTTTGCCAATGGAAAAAGCATGAGCAACAAAGGATGCGAACTTGTCGATCGTATGAAGTTCGAAACGTTCCTGCAGGCCGATCGTACTATTCAACCCACAGATCGAACAGTCATCTATCACTCGAATCTTGTCGCCTTGGACGATGCCAAAACGCATGGCAACGCAGACCTCGGACAAGTCTGCATCGTCATCAACCCATACCCAGCCAGCATCGATCTCAGATTGCGTTTCCGCCCAGGTGGCGCTCTCTAAGGCAGAATCCTGCCTGGAAGCCATCTTAGACAAGGTAGCTTTGTTCAAACCTTTGATCAGCTGAAGTAGAGATGACACAGACCTCTCAGGCCTTTTAACACTAGGAGAAGTATTACCGGACAAAGGCATCCAACCTGAAAGCCTAAAACCTTCCTTGATGTCGTTCGGGAGCTGGGTGTCGGGACATCCAGCTTCACTCATCATCTCACCAAGAAGCAAAAGCCTTTTGCCCCGAAGAACTTCCTTGAGTTGAGGTTCCATGTTCTCGTGCAGAGCGTCCTCGGCACCTTGCAACTCCTTGGCCCTAGCAGACCACTTCTTAACAAATTGAACCCGAAACTTTGCCAAGCCGTACGGCTCATCACAAAGTTTGCCTTGGCAGTGGTGGCAATGTTGGGGTCAATGTGCATGTCAAGACCTCGAGGGTGTCCAAACTTCAAAGCACGATGAATGAAAACTTCTGGGGTGCAGGGCACCCCAACTGTTGCCACCTCAATCGTTCTTGGCTGCCACGCATCAAAGACTGCACGGCTGCAATCATACATCGGGGCAGCAGCAAGAAAATGCAGCTCGAGGTATTCGTTGTCCTTTTGGTTCTGGAGCAGGGCAAAATACTCCCCCCATGTAGACAACTTGCGACGAACCACCCTGGCGCCTTTGGGAAGCAGAGAGAGAAAGCTTGACAGATGTTCCTCACTTGTGAACACGCATGCGACATAATGCGAAAACTCTGCAACCAAAGGCTTTAAGCGATTGCCACGTGGCTGGATGCCAAGGGCGATGCGCGAAGACGAATCTTGCTGGGATATACACTCAAGAGACAGCTGAGGCACATGCGGACCGAAGCATAATTCAAGCAGCGACGCGACAATGCGTTCACACAGCTTGATCGGATATGAGGCCTCGTCCGAAGTGACAAAATGTATCCTGCCCTTGCGAAGACATGGAGTCCAAGGCAAGTGACTGTGACTGCGATCGCAAAAGATTTGCAAACTCTGGAAAGCAGGGACTGAGGTCCAAAGTTTAGTTAATTTAGGGCGACCGCACCCATGAGCACAGTTGTGGAACAAAACGTGATGCCCCTGCCGATGCTCCAGCAACGCCTTGAACATGGATGTTTCCCAATAAAGGCTATTGGCAGGGTTCTCTATCACGACAAGGATTCCAAGATCAACTGCGCAAATGCTCAAAAGAGAAATTGCAAGGTACAACTGATTTGCAAGCTCGACCCTGCGACGATCCTTGCCACGGAGGCCAGGAAGCATATCAGGGTGTGAATCACTCCGGAGCGGCTGAGGAACACTATAACCCTGTTTAACCCACTTCTGAAGCGGTCGCTCACGAGCACGAGAAGCGGTCCCACAAGGTGGGGCAATGAACAGCATAGCGATGCGATCACGCTCTGTCCGAATGGTTTCGAAGACAACCTGGTTTTGTTCAGGATCGGCAAGATCAAGCATGACAGTTGACCTAAGACGAATGCGGTGCTTCGCATTGTCAACAGACAACGTCCGAAAGCCTGCCCTAGCAGCGGCCTGGCTGAGCACAGCAGTACCGGCACAAAGCTCGATGCACAAAAGATCTGAGGGCTGCAATTCAGGAAACCATACAGCTTGACCCTCAACAGCCGAACCTGAAGGCGGCGATGCGGAACAGGCGGGAAAGGGACTGGCTGGGGCACAGGAGCTAGGGAGACTACGAAGATCTACCAAGGCACCTGGGGGGCCCGTAACCCGACAAACCCTGAACACAAACCCCAGCAAAGAAGTGCGACTCTGAAGATCACGAGAGAGGCCGTCGAGTTTGGGTGTGTGTGCAACGACAATGACACGCCTACCTCTTCCAGTTCTCAACACGATGCCACACATCAGGCTGCAGTTTGAGAGGACCTGCAGACACTTCAGCAAGTCGACCACTCAGCGAAGACCCATGGACATGACGCACAACTGAACCGGAAGGATCCTCCAGCCACACTGCCCCTCCACTGAAGCAGCTAAGCGGAATCACCAAGTTGCAGGAACCTTTAAGGTTCTGGAGATCGCGATGAAAATCAGATTGTACCTCATCAAGCACCTGAAATGCTGCAAAGGTATGCGAAGGGTCTGCACAACGAATTGCGGCACAAATGTGTTTGCAGACTGCAGGAAAATCACTATTGTTTCGAAAGCTGCAAACCTGACCAGCGCGGAAGTAGAGCCCTGCACTGAAGCGAGAACCACCCTTACCCTGTACGTTGCGAAGGCCACGGTCCCGAGGCAGGCGGTCCAAAAGAGCCAGAAGCGATCCGGCTGAAAAGTCCCGCGCAGCTGTAAGTTGTTGAGCAAAAGAATCGGCATCCAAGTCCTTGGTGGCTGGCGGCTGCACAGGCACCTCAAGCGGCGGAGATTTGATAGTATCGGTTTCGACAGCAAGTGTGGTTTCGAATTCTTCGTTAACGGGGGAAACAAAAGTGGCACGCGACCCCTGTGCTGGATTCACAGGAGGAGGCAGGCCAACACAGGCAGAGTGATCTCGTCCTGGCTCTACAGCCGGAGACGACGCGCTGCTGACACCTTCAGTGTCACACAGGTGCAGCCTCTTGCGAGGCGGGCTTTGCAAACTACTAACATCCAAAGCCACGGAGGTGGTATCAGCACAACCGCCTTCGCGACCCACAGTGACACTGATCCCCAACGGATCGGCACAATCCGCTCCAGAGACCTCTCGGAGATCCACTGAAGCAGAACTTGCAACAGAAAGGGTATCAGACCCTAGTCAAGCTGCCTGCGCAGCCTTCGACTTGCAGTTGAGCACGGAGTGCCCAGGCTTGTGACACGCTGCACAGATGTGCAGGCCGCGGGCACACTTCATGAATCCAGACTTTGGATCCTTCTCAGTCTTTAGATCACAACCATCCTCAAGGTTACAGCCCAGCACACATTGCCCCACTTGGTGCGCGTGTCATACGGCTTCAGGGCCTCAGGCTTGTTCTTGGGCCCACCTCGACGTTTGCGATCTCCTTGGCGCGCGCACTGGGCTTGGGTTTCTGAGGACGCTCGTCATCCACCTGAGGAGGCGGAGGGTCCTTGTCCTCGTCTTTGCCTTTGCCACCACCTTTCGGTCCCTTGATCATGGGAAGAAGGAACTGCTGCACCCGCTGATCATAAGACAATCTGTTAATCAGATTGTCAAGAGGCAACTCACCGGCAGCATTCCCCCTGAAGGTCTTCAGATTCTCACGCGACATGAGCAAAAACAACTCCTTGTCTGCACGGATGCACTGAGCCAGGCCAACATAAGCATATAGCCAGGAGGAGGCACCTGCGAGAGACAATCAAGCAGCCTCTGAATCCACCGCTGGTGGACATTGTACGTGATCATCTTGCACTGATCGTATGCAAGGCCTCGGCGCATCCAAGCCCACTGACACTTCAACGAATCTGAAACATCACACTCAACTGGAGTTGACTGATGTCCCATCTTCACAACGTTGTGTTCGACCTGGAGGGTCGCCGGTTTCTCCTTGAAACCCTGGATCACTTCAACATCCCTCTTGGGACATTTGGACGGCGGAAGCCAGTAAAGAACCGAGCTTTCCATCTGATGATTGCATGCATCTATCAGCTGATATGCTGGATCAAGCTCGCCCTCCATCGTGATCCCAGACAGCCTGCCCTGTTGATTCTCCCGCCTGGCACGCTTCTCAGGAACAGGAAGCTTTCTCAAAGGCGCCCCATCTGATGACTCTTGAGAGACCATCTCTTTGTATGTCTGGATCACCAAAGTGGTGGCTTCAAAGTGAAGCTGACGGATGTCTGCAAGATCTCCTATGGACGGGTCCGCCACGGCAAAAACCTTCGCAGCCAATTCTTTGAACTGATCCTCGCTGGGTGCTGCAGAAGGCGTGCCCATGCTAAAAGCTAAAGATCGATACGTCTTGATTCTCTGGGCTGCCAGCCCTTCGTGAAGAGACCCATCCTCACGGAGCTCTGCACACCGCCCCTCAAAGGAGGCTTCACTCTCCACTACAGTCGACATGTTTGCTAGCTCGAGCATACGCAAGCACATGGAAATCGTCGTTCTCAAAACTTCGCAAATGAAATTAAAACGACATGAGAAAGACATGTGACATGCATGCACCGACTGCCCTATGGAAGTTACGACTTTCAAATCAGTCAACATGCAGTCACTGCCCTAGCACTGGTGCGCACTCAGATCGAGCAATCAACAAACCCTCGGTCATTCTTTATGCTCAATCCTGCGGGTCCATCGTTATGCGAGCACACATACGGCACCTGCTACATGAAGGGTGGGGTTGGCCATCCACCCTCGAATGCAGCTGTCCCACTGCACGTCCACACAAGAAAACCTTCTTGTAATGCTCCTGAGTCAAGTGAAGCACGCGCGACTTGTCATGCACCCAGTAGCACATTCCACTGGGGGCTGGAGGCACCGCAAACGGCGCCTTGCTCTTCTCGGCTTCATCCTCGGAAGTGTCACTACTGGAAGATCCAGTCGTGACACATGCATCTAGCTGAGGCTCCTCGCGCTCCTCGCCAAAAGGATTCGCACTAGGCAGAGAAGCTTCAGACCTTGGGGTGGAGCTGCCAACGTCCTCCCATTCCTCATCCTTAATCTCAACAAGAGGCACCCCACGCGCACTGGACTTGAAACGCCCGCTGCGAGTGGCATCCGGCACGAACTCGCCACTTCTAACCTTGTGCAAAATGCGCTCCAGCAAAAGAAGTGTAGGGGCTGCAGAGTCGCGGGAGTACGTCAAACCCATCCTGAAGTCACCCACGTGATATCCCAGCAGAAGAAGCTCCGAAGGTGACACCCCGAACTTGGCTGCCCAACTAATGCAGGTGCACTTGCAGCTGTGACTCGTGACCTTGCGTTCGGGCAGGATCTTAGTGTTACCGAACAGCAACAAGCGAAGCCAAGCACCTGCCTCGTCGGATTCTAGCGATCTGACAGTCGGTTGTCGATCCTTGCCCGGGGCTGGCATCAAAGGTCCTGCGGGAGGTTCAAGGAGCCCAAGCTCGGCCTTGTAAAGAACCGCCCAGTTCCCTGCAACCACACCAGTCGCCGGGGCAACCAACGGTAGCAGCTTGCCAACCATCTGTCTTGCATGTTGTGTCTTGTGTACACCAATCGAGCATTCCACGAAGGTTATAACACCATCTGAATCTCGATCAAAAATCCCACTCTTCAGCATGGCAAAGGTCTGTCCACCTCGCCCGGGCATATACGCAAAGCAAAATGCTTCCAGCCATCAGCCTGTCCCAGGCACTGTCACCATGCATCAGGATCTGATGCAACTGATGTGTCCACAACCCAGCGGTCGGCTGTTGGCTCTTTGGCTCTTTGCTAAGCACCAGCAAGACCAGTTCCGCCACCTGGAGCGGCGAGGCCTGTCGAGAAGCATGGGCCTCTTCTGAAAGGGTGCTGCCATGGCACCTCCTGCTCTCACAATGCTCCTGCAGCTGGGGAACCCCTAAAACAAATCTGCAGAAAGTCAGCGCCTCGATCACGCTCTTTCTCGTAGAGGGCGGCTTGCCAGGGCCACGCAACTCACATAAGTACTGATATAGATGGGGCTCCCCACCTGGAAATTCAATCCGATTCCAAGCCAGAAAATCATTGTAGCCAACAACGCTCCTGAACCTCTTTCGCAACGTAGCAGGCGCCTTACGCCTCAGAAGGTCACTAACCATAGCAACCCTCTCCTTGCTGCTCCGAAGTTCATGGAGCTGGCGCGAAACCTCAATGCCCTGGGGCCAAGACAGAACAAAGGCAGTCCAGAGAGTAATCATCTCACGAAGTTCCGCTTCCCTCTTGGCTTTCCAGGCTACCACATCGCGGTCCTTCACAGCGGCCATGAAGGATTCTCCACCCTTCGGTCCAGTCTTCTGAGACTTGGGAGGAGGAGCATGATCAGCAGTTGCACCCCAGGCAAAATTATCTGGGCGTCTGAAAGAAGCCCCATACATACCATCGAGGGGGCTCCGATTGTCAGCAGTACTGAAAATATCTGCCCAGACCCCTTGTTCCCACAGCTGTCGAACAGGCCCAGGGTTCAAAGACTGGTGAGCTGCCGCAATCGCAAAATGCGTCTCAGCAGAGAGCCTAGCAGACGGTAAACCGGCAGCCCTGCTAGGTCCCGGCATCAAGGCAGGACCAACACCACCATGAATGCTTCCAGCGCCCCCACCTGCATCGCTAGGAGCACCGAAGTCCTGATCAGCTTGCTCCTGAAACAAAGCACCTCGCTCACAGCCAGGAGCAGGGTTAATAGATTCAGCCTCGGCCTCGAGGGCTTCCAAAGAACCAACACTGTGCATCTGCAAATCACCCACCTCAGGCAAAACATGTGCAGTGTCGGAAGGTCTTGTTGTTGCAGGCTCCTCCATGAGCCTAGAAATGGAAGCTTCGAAAGAAAGCCAGCCACGCCAAAGCAAGTGTGCAAAGTAGGCGCAGCACAGCAATGGATAACTGCTCGGAAGTCGAGAAGTCTGTTGAGGCCAGGGCTGCTAAGTCAGCAGGGCGCAACCACTGAAACAAAAGCAGCGTGATATCTGGATCAAGAATGCACCAGAGTTCACTCGCAGCAACACTACTCGGGGGCGAAGCGCTTGTTGAGGCTGCAGACAAAGCGTCCCCGTCTTCCATGCGCCCCCCCGCTACAAAGGACAAACTACGGAAGCTTGCAAACAAACTATCCGCACCCACCTCCCACCCTTGAGATGAGAATGGCAACATGATCACATACTTCACATGAACAGCTTCAGAGTGTGCAAGAGAAGGTTCACCAACAAATTGGCGCAACTCAAATCTCTAAAAGAAAGTTTAAATGTTGAGAAAGGAAATTCGAGAAGTATTGCTAATTTCAGCAACTGAAATGTCTACACAACGGAATCTGGACAGCACTGCGACCCCTTGCCTTCGCACCGGCCTCCGCGGAGTTTGGTCATCGTTGAACTCGTCAGAGTCGACCTCCGTCGAAGTCTTGTGACCTGAGCACGGGAGAGCAAAGGCACCGACCAGGCGAACACCGGGCACCGGCCTTTCACCTTCCTGGGCTTGGCCATCGCCGGCTTCTTGAAGGGCCTGGGCGGCGAGGTGGGCAAAGGAAGCAACGCTCGCATTCGCCCGGCCTCTTCGGCGTCTGGTCAAAGTTGAACTCGTCGGAGTCCACGTCCTTTCTCGTCTTCCGGGTCGGCTCCATACCTTGGAGCAGCAGGGCAAGCCTGGACGGTAAAGCCCCCGGCTGCCACGGCAACGGCAGGAGAGCCCCAAAGACCTCAAAGCGAGAAGGGAGCACGGCCAACAGGACCAGCCAGCTCTGGAGCACCAAGCCTCACAGGGAGGCAGGGACTCCACAGCAAAGTGAGGAACCGGCAGCAAACCTGAAGGAGGCGCAGGGACAGCACCCAGCAAGGCTCCGGCAGCACGAGCAGCACCAACGCAGGCAAAGTAAGGCCCCGCCACCAAAAAAGAGCAAAAAAGGCTGCGGCGGCAACGGAACCAGGCTCGGGCAGGGGATGGGGTCGGCTAGGGTTGGGTTCGGGCCAGTTGACACCGGAGCGGGATAAGGCGGCGGCGGAGGGGGCCGGAACCAGGCTCGGGCAGTGGATGGGGTTTGGGTTGACACGGGAGCGGGATAAGGCGGCTGCGGAGGGGCGGAACCTAAAGTCCTAAACAATGGCCGGCTGCCGCCGGAAGGGGATAAGGACCCCGCCCATGGGTGGAGAGCTACGAACGAACGACGAGACGGCAGCACAGGGTAAAACCGGGTTCGGGAAGTCGGGTCCTGAAAGCGGGGTCCGGGCGCCTAGGGTTGGGAAGCTGGGGGTCGGGTGCCCTCAAAGCCCTGAAAGGGGTTGGGTCACAACCGAGGCTTAGAGGGGCACAGGGGGAGCGCAGGGCACTACAGGCACTCCTACGCGGGGGGTCGAAAAGGGGTTCGGGTGCCCTGAACCTAGGGGGGCGGGGGGCAACCAGGAACTGGGGAAACCACGCAGCCACGCTTTTACAAAAAAGGACCTCACCACCTCGAGAGTACGTGTTTCGTTGTGCTCGTTATGCTCGTGGCCCTAATTGGTCTCCCCAAGTATCTTAAGCTGGCTTGGCTGTGTAGAGTCTAACTCGGGAGACCAAGTTCACAGCCAGGTCACCAGCCCATTTTTTGGTCACCCCGCCCAAACTCGTGCGCAGCTCCACAGCCAGGTCACCAGCCCATAATAGGAAAGTCCCGGCCCAAACTCGTCTCCATCGGGCCCATCTTTGCCGCCGCCGCCACCCAGGGGACTGTGGTCAGCTGGCGAAAGCTCCTCGCTTCGTTTTGTTGTCGAGCTTCTCGGACTTCTCGTCGTCGGCCTCCTCCTTAGTGCACATCGCAGAACGCAGTTGCAGCATCTCTCGGCAAGCCAACAAACTTGGCCTGCGGGGTCTTCGGCGCAGGTGCTGTCGAGGAAGACGGCTGCTGAAGTAGGCGGAGATGTCCTTGGCGCTCCCCCGGAGGCGTCCTGCCCCTCTTTGAGCTGTGTTCTGGAGCTCCGCCGCCATCTGCTGGCCCATCAGTCTGCTCAGCTCGTTTATTTGCGAAGCATGTGACTGTCTCATCTGCAGAGCCATGGCAGTGGCGCGATGCTGGCTGCGCTCCTCCTCAAGTTCTTTCAACAGCTGCTGCACCGCCACCAGCATTTGCAAAAGAATCGGATATTGCTGAGCTCTCGCAGCAAGCACGAGAGACTGCTCTCTCACCCTCTCTCTTACGTGACAGCCTCCAACTCCCGCCACAACCCTGTTGAGCGAATCGCGATTCTAATTTTCGGGAGTGAGCTCGGAGCTCGATTCGACTCAAAACTGCAACATAGTGCAGTTTTGGGTCCGAACACAGCACTGCTCTCGGCGAATTCTAGGCCCGAAATCTGAGAGGGA